ACAGTGATTAGTTTTTGAATTACAACCATATAAAAAAATCGATTTGGTCGAACACTGGTTTTGCGTAAAAATTCACATTTTTCTGTCACTTTTTTTTTGTTTTTCTCGATATTTTGAAAACTGTTGGAAAATATTTATTTTTGACCTCTATAATGCACCAGGTGTATTCAATTTTCCATCGGAAACCACCCCCAAAGTTTGAAATTGAAGCATTATTTCGACTAGTTATGCGGTACACAGAAACACACAAAAAAAAAACCCACATCATTGTAAAATCAATACATTCACTCCGTTCAGAATCTATTAAATTTTCAAACTTTTCTACCCAACAAATACATTTTTATCAATATTAATTTAAAARAAACTAATAATGATCGAAAATTGCAAATACCTATACCTATGAATAGTTCAACTGAAGTCGAAAATTTTTGAAAATTGCATGTATCTATGGTGTCATTTATTTTAATGTTACATCAAATACCAAAATCAATTTTGTCGAAAACTGAAACTGCATAAAATTTCGAGTTTTCYCCTTAATTTTTAGTTAGTTTATCCCGATTATTGAGAAAAATATTGAAATTTCCCCCTCCCCCCCTTAAGTACCAACTAGATTCACTTTCTGATCGAACCAGGTACTGAAGTCAAAAATCGAAGCATTTTTACTGCCTCAAAACGTGATGACAGACACAAAAAAAACACACACACATCATGGTAAAATCAATACATTCATCGCTCTGCTCAGAATCTAAAACTTGAAAAAAAGTTAATGCTTTTTGAAATTATGAGTATTTAACGATAAAAGAATCACGCTGTAGAAGGCTCTTCAAAAATATACCATTTAGATCAAAATATAATTTTTACATAGGAATTTTTTATATGTTTTGGAAGCAAGGTTATTCAATTTTTATATTCTAATATTAAAAAACTACTCTTTATATTTTATTTGGTTGAGAGAATTTCATCAATATCTAACTGAAGCATATTTCTGATGGTAATAGTGTCATTTAAACGCATAATATTATGTTTGTATGCAATAATTTTCCAATATRAACATAATTTTTGAATGTGAGAATTAAATAGTACAACGTGTGATTCAATCATTATTTGTTTATTTTAATTTTTTGAATTAATAGTTTCTTTATAACTAGTGCTATRAATATAACATTTATCTTTTAATAAAGTTTTAATTATAATTGTTGTAAATTAAATACTATATTATGTAATTTCTATTMAACTATGACATAAMWTGATTTGTATTTATTGTTATGAAATGTTAAGTTAACTATCAAAATAAATAACCATGGAAAATAAAAATATCAACTTCTCATTATTAGATWAATTTATTGTTTAAAAAAAAAAAATAATAATAATAAAATTAAATAATCAACCATCCATTTATTTTACTATTGATATATATTTATAGATGAAACTGGGTCTAAAGGAGATGTACCTAAAGGTATGTGTGCGGTTTGTAAAGCAGAAAATGTTGCATGTCCCAGGACTCTTAATCCATCAGATGCAGCACAATATGGTGTGAAACCAGAAGATATTATTCCTGGTGCTAGGGTTTGTAACACTTGCCGTTGTAAAGTGGTTCGATCCCAAAATCGTCGTGTAATATATTGTCCGTTACCATCTTGCCCTACTGTTCAGTCAAATAATAGAAGACCAGTTAAAAGATTACGACCCTTACCTGCCAAATGGAATACTGCTCAAGATATCATAGCTTCAGAATTTCGTTAGTGAATAATTTATAATTGTTTTATTATTTAAATTAGAACATTTTTATTTTGTATTTAGAAATTGGTCCGACAACAACAAAATGTTGTTCAGCTTGCTTTAATCGTATTCAAAGACGATTAATGGCACTTGGAGTAGTAGGAACATCAAGCAATATTAGTACTGATACTTTAGATGGCTGGACTGATGAAGAAACCAATGCATTAAAGAAAGGAATTCGAGAACATGGCACTCGTTGGAGTGAAATAAGTAAATTAGTTGGACCAAATAAGAGCCACTATCAGTGCAAAGAGTTTTATTTTAGCTTCAGAAAAAAACTAGGTTTAGATCTTTTAGTACAGGAGTATAAAAAGGTAAAATTTATCATTTTTATTAAATTTCAAATAAAATCAAAAACTAAAAATATTTGATCTTTKCTTTTAGACAAATGGTAGTGAACAAAAACCTGCTCTAACAGATGAAGAAGAGTCAGGATCTAGTACTTCTAGCTGTGATGAGACTAACCTTGTTTTGTGTGACAGTGATACTCAAAGTGCACCTTCACCAACAAATACTTTACCACAGTTATCTCCTCCACGTGATACCAATAGTCCGCTTCAAGCGAAATTGACTGCTAAAGAGGCTCGTGATAGTGAAAATTCTATTCGATCTACTGTTGTCAAAGAAGATTATGATAGTTCAGCTACTGAAACTGCTGATGAAGGGATTGGAGGTACAGCTGAAAATGAGTCTAATGTGTTGCAACATTCCAATAACGAATCTGAGGAAAAAGAAAAGATTGTAACTGATTTAAGTGTGTCAGATATTTTATCTGATGTAATTGAAAAACAATTTACTAAAGAACATTCTAATCGAGAGGTAAAAAATCTTGTTTTTATACTATTATTATTTTTTGCTTATTATTCTTATTCGTTTTTTTTATGTATTTATAGAAGGAGAATGGATCTATGCCTACAATATCATCCATACTTTTGGATCCTGAGTATCCTATTAAAGATAGAAATACAGGATCTAGCAATAATGAAAACAAACAACAGTCAATGGCTACAATATCAATGGTTCCTACACCACCTCGGGAACTTCACAATAAAGATGGTTTAGTTGTTGTTCAAGTACAATCTTCTAAAGTTTCTGAAGTTAGAGTTCCMGAAGGTGTAACTCTTGATTTAAGTATCAAAAGACCCAGAGAAGGAGATTCTTATTCCGATCCTCTGCCAATCAAACATGCACAACCCCCACCACCACCTGGTGCAATGTACAGAACTCCTCCCACACAAATTCATGAAACAAATACATTTTATTCTCCACAGGTAACTTTCAGTATTATCATTTGTAAAAGTCTTAATACATTGCAAACATATTTCAGTATGCTGAATTGGGACGAAGTGGCAAGCAAGGTGAAATATATTGGACAAAAATATCGCCAGCAAGTAATCATGTCATGGTCCATCCATCGCAATCTGTTCCCCATGTAACTGTTAAACAGACATCGCACATAAAATTACCAAATAAGGTTTGATTATTAAAATGTGTAATATTTGTTTAAATAAAGTTAGTAAAACTATTTTTGTTTGTAATAGGTAACGTCGCCTCAATTATCTGTAGCGAATGTTGTTTCATCAAAGTTATMCCCTAACATATTGAATAATTCAAAAGCTACTGGATCCATCATGCATGGTACTCCTGTCTCAGCTGCAACTTTATACATGCCTCCACAATCTAACCGTTATTCTCAGCCATCACAAGCTCCTGGTGGTTCTATTACTCAAGGTACTCCTGTTCACCAACGTATGTTACACAATTCAAATCAAAACATGAATGCAGATTATTATCAAAAACGCAATCCTCAGCCTCAATATCAATCGAGACAGCCTCATTATAGTGAGCAACGACAAATCATAATGAATGACTATATTACTTCACAACAAATGCATTCTAATGTTGCTGCTCAATTTCCTCGAGTTCAAAAACCTCCAGTTACTAGTCAGATGTACTATCAACCTACTCGTCAAGGTGTAATACAACGTCATAATACGGCTCCTAAAGCAGCATCTCCACAAACTTATCCTCCAGGACACGAAGCCCTAGGATCTTTGGTTGATGTTGCAATAAGACAGCCCAGCTTACCAGTACCTTTAAATCATTCTGACGATAGACATAGAGAACAAGATCGCTATGTAAGAGGTTCTCCAGTTCCAAAACCTCATATGTACAGAGAGCAACAAAGACATGAGCATATGCAAAGGGAACGTGAAATAGCTGTGCAAAGAGAGCGAGAAATGCAAGCAGTTGCACAAATTAGAGAACAGCAGCAAAGAGATCAGTATATTAGAGATAAGCAAATGATGCATCATCGGCTTACTCCTGAACAACATTCAAGAATGGTCGCTGCTTCGTTTCAACAACAACATCAACGACAGCAAGAACAACCTAGAGTTATGCAAATACCTTCTACTGTCTCTTCATTTCAACAATCAAGATCAAATACTCCCGTATCTAGGAATCAAGAACCACCACCCAATATACAAAAGTATAAATTATTAAATTTTTATATGTTGTTTAAATGACTAATAAGTACATTTTTTCATTTCTAGTAGAGATAATGCTGGTAGTGGTAGAGTTTCAAGACAAGGCACAGAATCCCATGCGTTAACTGCAGCTAATTTAATTGATGCTATCATCACACATCAAATAAATCAGAGTAATGATGGAAATGGACATCTTCCTAGTGCTGCTCCAGTCACCAATCAGCAAGCACATCAACAGCAACGAGCTGGTGATAAGTTATTTCAAGTGAGTTCAATAAAATAATTACCTACTACTTTAATATCTTAAACTTGAATATATAAAATAATTTTTATTAATTATTTATAATATTTAGTCATTCCCAGAAGCAAATGAAAAACAAAATTTAAAACCACGAGGTAGTCCAGAAATGAGTCGTCCAGGAGAACCATATCCACTAGAACATCCTTTTAAAGAATATCCCTTTAATAACATGTTAGCTGCGGGCTTTGAGCCTCATACTTGGAAGCTTCGCCGTGCTCTACAACAAAAAGAATTTGAACAACAAATGAAAGATGACAATAGTCGAGTTCGCTTTTACCCAACTCAAGCGGATAAACCTTTATCGCCTTTAGATTATGTTAAAAATCGGATTGTTGAAGTAATGCGCACATCAGATGACGACAACAAAAATGAACAGGCTTACACTTATCCATTTTCAGCTGCAATTAATATGTCTGCATCGGCTACACAAAAAAATAATGAATCATCTGATCCAAATGGTGGTGGTGGTGGATCTATGTTAACAGCCCAATATGAGCCAATGTCTGATGAGGATTAGTTCTTCCATAACACAGGGTACATATGTGTTTAAAAAGATTTTTATGTTTAAAAATCTAGTCTAGTTTGTTTTTATTTTTTACTTGTTAACCCAATTTCACATTAATAATCATTCAAAGTAATTCTACTTCAAAACTTACTTATGTATTGCTTGTTAAGTAAGTATATCATTGTCTACATTACATTTTATATTTGTTGTATAATATGTACTTATGAAATAAGTATTGCTGCATAARTATATTTCATGTAATCATCATAATAGTTTTTTAAATGGTTACTGATTCTTGGGACACAATAGAAATTAATTAAAAACAACCATTTGTATTCTGTAATATTAAAATAACCGATTAGTTGACACAATGCATAATTGTCTTATTCAAATTTTTAATATGCTTAAAAAGTAAATTAATTATACAGCTCATTTGTTAATATTTAATAAATTTAACCTAATACTACAATATTATTTGTACTAATATTTGTTTGTTAATTGTGTCTTTTCAAAATAATTTTGTGTGTATTTTATAAAGAAAATCCTATGCTTATAAATTAAATTTTATTTTTTATGACTACCCCTGAAAAACCAACTGCACATAGATTTGGGTGTCTGAATTTATTTATTTTTYAAATACCTTACACAATGTCCAGATGAATAATTGTTTTGGTATCATAAATGGAATCATTTATGTTGTAATATTTAACATAAATTTTTTTTTATAAAATTATAAATACTTTATTTTTATTTAACTGTAAATTATTGATAAATTTATATTTTTTTAGTTTCATAAACTAAAAATATTAAATTTTTTATTCTTGATTAAAGCTGACATCAAACATTTCCTTGAATTAGGAAGTTGATTTTACGATTCACGACAGTTGATCAAATGATAATTTAATTAAGTACATTAATTAATATTAAATATTGTTATTTAAATTAATTAAATCAATAATCCATTATACTACAAAATAATTAATAAATGCAAATTTTGTATTAAGTCTTAACTATGTTTTGTTCGTTAAATCACACTACCAAATGTAGAATTATTAGATTTGTTATGTGAAAACAATAGATCATGTAGTGTATAAGAACAAAATTATGTTCCAAATAATAATGCCGTGATAATGATGTTTTGTGTCAACTGTTTAATTTATTCATCAATATATTATTCGATTATCATAAAATAGTTAACTTTTTACTAACTGAAAACTGTTAATTAGCAACACATTGTTTTGTTTTGTTTTTTTAATCATTAAGCTTTTATTTGTATGTATTGCAAAACCAATAATAACTTTCAATGTATATTAATCTTTTTTTAACGTGTAAATTCCCTCCATTTTTTTTTTAGGTAAGTGTAAATAATAGGTTAAACAAAAATATTACTTTTATAAGCATTTTATTTATTTTTTATTATTATTTTTTTTTTTTATTGTTGAACATTGTAAGTAATGGTGTAATTGTATAAATTGCAATATTTTTAGTTTTGAATTAACAATATTTGTATTGTGTAAATGTAGTAATCATAAAAGTTGGATGACATATAAGTTTAAAAAAAAAAATTAACAGTTGTGATAAATATATTGATCTATTATTAGGTTCTTGTTATCCAAATGATTTAATAAATGTGATGAAACAAAACGATTTATTATATTTTTTAATTCAAATAATTTTCTTATTTCTCTTATGATACTAAATTCAAATTATGATTCCCTCGATGAATTTCATTCAATATAACTACGACCAAGGTTAAAATTAAGTGTTAATCCAAATTTTTATTATTGAATACATATCTTAAATAAAAATGTAAGTATTGGAATCCAGTACTTCAGCGGTTACCAAATTTAGGTATAGTGCATGGTTTTAATGTAGGTTTTGGAATTACATATAAATGTATTATTATTTTCTGAGCAGAGTTATAGGTACATTAACAATTATGTATTTTTTTCTGTCCATTATCAACAYTTGGGCTTATAAAAATAATCCAATTTTCAATATCATCATATTTTCTGATGCAAAAGTGAATCTAGTTGGTATTTTTGAGAGGTTAATATTAAAAATTCCAAAATGATGGTAACTTTTAATGTAACTCATAAACTTATAACCTTCTGATACAAATTTATAAGTTTTTTTTTCATAGTTTGCATAAAAATGTTAATGGAAATTTACCAAAAGTTTTTTCTGATTTTAACAAAAAAAAAAAATTACTGGCAAAACACTTCAAAATTATCATAAATCTATAAAAATATATTATTTAGCAAAGTTAGAAATTATATGTACGTGTTATCATTCAAAAGATTAAAATCTAAAATAAATATTAACAAAATTTAAAAGCGGACGATTGGGTACTGTTCTGTTGCACAGTAGTTGTCGAGTATGTCATGGTAATCGTAATGGATGTTATATTTGAATTTAATGGTAAAATATTGCATACGAAAAACGTTTCTGAGCGGAGGCGTAGTGCCATYCAAATAACTTAATCTAAACTTAATTATAATCAAAGCTATTATAAGAAAAAAAAATTTAATGGAAAATCTTATGATTTTAAAAATCGTAATATTGTGTTGGTGATTTTTTTTTTGATAGACTGGAAAATTCTTTAACATTTTGTCAATGTTAAAGCCATGAAAAGAAAAAGCAGGCAATAAGTCGATGTCTCTCTGCTGTACCTACTGTATGTCAGTATCCAGTAGGTTACAAATGGCTTGCTGTAATGGATGGTAATAAATTTGAATTCAATRATATATTATCATATAGTTTTCATAGACTGAAAATGTCTGCACGTGGAAAATAATTTAATAATGTTTTTCTCAACATAAATGTGACGTTTCGTCGCGTCATTTGATTGCAATATCAATCTAAAATTGTTATCATCATCACACGAAATACGAATACAATAGTTGCTAAATTGAGCAATTCATAATGTGATATGCTAGGTAGTAGGTATCTATTATATAGCTTGTATGGTATTCTACAAAAAAATCCGGTAAAAATTACAATAATTATAATTATAACTAGTCAATAGTGTTTTTAGATTAACACAATAACACGTCACCACGGATTTAACTTGCATACTGTTCTGTTTAAATATAATATACTTTTACTTGTATAAATAAATCAATGTAACCATGTAAAATAAATCCTTAAAATTAATACAAATTTATATGAAACATATTTTCAATCAACTATGGAACAACTATGTAGACGTACCTATTCATAACCAATAGATTTTCCAATTCACTTTAATATAGTAATATACACTATGCAGTATGGTTATAATCAAGGCCCCTGCAAGTCTAAGCAGGGATTAGGTAATATATATATCTTAGTCCGTGTTAAATGCTCTTCAAGCAATCACAATTCTAATTTCCAAGATATTCCTTGAAGTGGTCAAAGCACTGTGTTTATGAGTAGGTCCACCACAAGAGGTGGGGTGGGGGGTCAGAAGAACCCATGGTACTGGGGCCGGGCGTTCATGTAATTATTTAATTCAATATATATTAGAAAGTGTTTGGAGACCAAATTTAGTTCTTTACCTACCAGGGCCAAAAATATGATTTGCGCGGGTCCTGTCTGTATGTTGAAATAATTTGAATTTGGGTTGTCCGTGTAATTATAATTATCAAGTATTTACTATAATCATCATTAAATTAATTAAATGTTAATATAGTAATGTCGAGAAATCAAACTTTAAAAAAAATTATTGTGAATGGCATCGTACAAGAATCTAGTAAGTCCTATAAAAGTATAAAGTGTAAAACATACCAGGTGGTCTTGCTAATTTTAATACAGGTATCAGGTACCTTTAGTGTTACCATAGACCTATAAATTATACTATATTTAGGTCTATGAGTGTTACCAGTTACCGATGTAGTTACCGAACATACCATTTCCTACATCTTGGTAATTAACGAAACGAATTACATTATCAGTGTCTGGGTCAAAGACATATTAATATGTCAATGGTCCATACTTGGCAATCAGGGTAGGCAACCCGCCAGATTTTAAAATCACCTAACCGAGGCATCAATATGAATAACCCTTTTTAGATTCTGAACGAAGTGATGAATGTATTGATTTTACAATGATGTGCTTTTTTTTTGTTTTTGTGTCTGTGTACAGCATAACTAGTCGAAATAAAGCTTCGATTTCAAACTTTGGGGGTGAACCAGTTTTCAACTAAATTGATTTTTTTATATGGTTGTAATTCAAAAACTATAATCACTGTAAATACTTGAAATTTTCACCAAATGTTTATGTTAGTGTTATATATATACAGTTTAATTTTCAAAAAGTTTTGACTTTTTTTGAGTTATTTATAGACCACTGAAATTTTCGATTTTTTTTAGTGCCGGTAAAAAAATGTGGACGACCAAAAAAACTTGAAAATTGAATACAAGATTCCTTATAAGTTGTTCTTATTGTAGCAAAAAAAAATTAAAAATCGCTAGTCACAATTTTTTTTTATAAGCGTTTATAGTTCAAATTTTTACAAAATATGTCGAAAACGCGAAAATTTGCAAGTAATTTTGAAGTTTAAAAATCATAAAATTTTTTCTGTTTATAACTAAGGATTAAAAATATAACACTAAGTTTTCCTTCAAATAGCTATAGAGAAAAMTCAAAGCGTTGTTATAGGAAAAATTTTAAGTGCGTTTGAATTTTAAATTTTTTTGAAATAGCGTAACGATAACGATATATCCTCAAACGATTTTAAACATTTGTTATTATTCAAAAAATATAAGTCGTAGATACTTGAAAATTTTACCAGTAAGTTATTTAAATTGGCATTTTCTTTACATGATTTAATTTTCAAAATATTTTGACTTTTTTTGAGGTATTTATAAACAACTGAAATTTTCAATTTTCATGAAAATTTTTTTTTGAAGTGTTGATAAAATTATTTTGGCCCTATCAAAATACTTGAAAAATTAATACAAAGTTCCTCATAAGTTATTCATATAGTGATTGAAAAATTACAAAAATACATTGGCACGATTTTTTTTTATTAGCATTTGAAGTTCAAATTTTGACTAAATACATAAAAATTACGGCTATGTTCAAATTATCTTAGATATAAATTCATAAAAGTTTTCCTTTTTAATTCTAAGATTTGAAAATTTAATACAAGGCTCTTAACATATTTTTACAATAGCAGTTGCAAAATAAAAGGAATACATAGTCACAATTTTTTTACAAGCATTCAAAGTTTGAATTTTGACAACATATGTAAAAATCACGAAAATTCGCAAATTATTTCAAACTAGAAATTCATAAAAATTTTCTTTTTAAATCAAAGATTTGAAAATTTTTAATTATCTATAATATATCCTAGACTGACAAATTATCTCCGTTCAGAATCGTTTTTCGTATACAATGATACCTATCATTGCATTCAAATCTAACCTACCCTAGTCAGAGGTCCACCTCACCAGCTATAAATG